CTCATCAAAGTAGGATGTAGAACATGATTTTTATGTACTGTGTTATAATTGTTGCTTTCTTAACTCTTGTTTCTATAGACATTGATTAATTGATAATTAATTAATTAAAATAGAATGAAATTGTTGACCATTTCAGTTTTGTCTCCATTTATGATAATGTAGTTTATTGGTCCAGTTGTGAGGATTTTTTTTTTTTCATGTTCAGACATAATCCATATTGAAAACTGTAGTGTTTGACCTTCATCAGTAAGTGCTTCAAGCTATCTTCATTTTCAGCAAGCAAGATTATATCATCTGCCTATTTTTAATGACTGTTCCTGCACTCCTGGTGCTTCATTCTTCTTCATAACATCAGCTTCTCAGATTATTTGTTTAGCATTCAGATTTAGTAAGTGTTGTGAAAGGCTACAACTCTGCTGCACATCTTTTCCAGTCTTAAACTGTGCAGTATCCCTTTGTTCTGTTCGAATAACTGCTTCTTGATCCGTATACAGTTCCTTGTGAGAATACTTGCTAATTGCTCTGCCAGTGATTGTACCTGTGTATTCACCCATCTGCAAGGAATGAGAATCCCATTTCTCTAAATTTTTGACAAAACTTGGCATTTGTAGACATTTGAATTTTTTCACATTAGAGAGATGTGAAATGCTCTCTAGTCTGAATTTTATAATTCGCAGAGTTCTAGGGAGCTTGATTAATGTTTCATGTTGTTTGGGTTTTTTATTTTCTTCTGTAAATTACTTGTTATTGACTTTACTAATTTTATATTGGGTTGTCTTTTTAGATGTAATCTTTGCTAACACTTCATGAGTTATTTGTGTTTTCAAGTACTTTATCTCACTCTGTAACTAGTCTTTGGGAGCTCTGGTAGCATAGGGCCTAAGGCACTTGACTGCTAACCAGAAGGCTGGCAGTTCAAACCCACCAGCCACTCCTCTGAAGGAAGATGGGGCAATCTACTTCCGTAGCGATACTGCCTCAGAAACCCAAGGAGGGGTCTCTATGAGTCAGGTCTGACTTGACGGCACATAACAACAACAATATAACTAGTCTTTAGCTTTACTGTTTTGGGTTTTTTATTTGTTTTTATGAGGTGCCAAAATTTATAATTTTCATATCAAATTTTTTGTGATTTATTTTTTTTGTGCTTTATGTAAGAAAACCTTTCCCAACTCTCAGGTCATAAAGATTCTCTACTTTTGTTGAAGCTTAAAAGTTTGCCTTGCACATTCAAGTCTGTATCTGGAATTTATTTATGTGTATGGTATGTAAACCAAACTCGCTGCCATCAAGTCAGATCTGACTCATAGCCACCCTTCCTTAGGTTTCCGAGGTGGTGTCACTACAGAAGTAGATTGCCCAACCTTCCTTTAGGAGTGGCTGGTGGGTTTGAATCACCAGCCTTCTGGTTAGCAGTCAAATGCCTTAGGCACTACACCATCAGAGCTTCTATATGGTATGATGTAGAGATCTAATTTTATTTTCTTTTTCCACGTAGTTGACCAGTTGTCCCAGCAGCATCCTTGTTCATTGATTTATAATGCCTTCTCTGTGGTACACCAAAGTTTTTTATGTGCACTGATTTGTTTCTGGGTTCTCTACTATGTTATGTTAGTCTGTTTATTCCTTTGTCAGAGCCACATGATCTTAATTTTTGCAACTTTATACAAATACTTAATATCTAGTAAGCCAAATTGTCCTATTGTGATCATTTTCAAAATTGTTCAGACTGTTCTTGACCATTCACTCTTCGAGGTAGAGTCAGCTTGTCAAACTCAGTGAAAAGTCCTGTTTTACAATTTTGACTGGCATTACGTTCAATTTATGGATCAATTTGGAGAGAGTTGATTATCTTTCAATTCATAAAAATGTCATATCAGTCCTTTATTCAGGTCTTCTATGGTCTTCAGTAGTGCTTTGTAATTTTTCCCATAAAGATCTTTGGCATCTTTTGTCAGATTTATTCCTGGGTGTGTTATATTGTATATAGCTAATATATGTATTCTAATAATATGTGTGTGCATATGTGTGTATATAAAATACTTGTGAATAGTATCATTTTTCTAACTTTTATCTTTCCCCCCTTCATGAACGTGTTATTCTCTCATTTTCCAGTAGATGGCAGTAAAATACACTAAGGTTTTATTATTTAGCATCTGTTTTCCTTTCAGTAGTATCTTATTTTTCCTCTGAAATTAAAATGATTTGTACATTTATTGATTCTGAAATATTTCTAAATTATATTCCTTTATACTTTGTAGGAAGATAAAAGGAAGCGAGATCGAGACCGTGTGGAGAATGAGGCAGAAAAGGACCTCCAGTGTCAGGCCCCTGTGAGACTAGACTTGCCTCCTGAGAAGCCTCTTGCAAGCTCGTTAGCCAAGCAAGAAGGTTGGAATAACTGAATTAACTTCAGTGATTGCGGAAGCTGAAAATGCTTTAAGGGTCACAGCCAGGGTTTTAGCTTCTAAGTGAAAATGTGGAAGTTTTCACTTGAGGTTTTTGCTTTGTTTTTAATTTTTTTTTCTTATGTCTTACTGTATAAGAAATAGCAGTTAATTTCAGTTTTGAAATGATATCCTCATACTTTAACATAGCTAAAATAAGTGGAATTTATGTATAAGATGTTTAATAATGGATATAAAAGAAGCTGTATAGAAAGAAAATAAGCTAACCGTGGTACTCTCTAGAGTCATCCTTTTAAAAACCGTGTTTTCCTTCTTCCTCACTTTAGAAGTGGAACAGACACCCCTTCAAGAAGCTTTGAATCAACTGATGAGGCAATTGCAAAGGTAAATATTTTTTCCAACATTTTTATAACATAGAGATTGAAGCGGCAAAATACATAGGATCCAAACCGCTTCTCTTTTTTTGACGACTGAAAGCCGTATTTTGTGGCCTGGATCCCAGTGTACTTCATTTTAAAGTAGATGATAAATATTTCGTCTGGCAATAGAAGTATTCCAAAAGGCTGACTTTTAGATGTTCTCATTTAGTTTGTTTTAACTGGCAACTTGAAGGCTGTTACATAATACTCTTAATGGCAACTCTTTTTTTTTTTTTAAATATCTAAAGTAGTTTCTGCTGTTAAAGCTTTAAACCAGGAATAAACAATACAGATATTTCCAGTTTTGCAGTAGATTTAAGAACTCTCTGTATATTTGTGCAATGCCTGTCATACCCTGAGTGTTCAGCAATTATTAAGACCAGGACAAAGAAAGAAAATACCATAAATAAGATGTTTTACCCTCTTTTAAATGCAGAAATTTGTTCTAGAAACTTCAATGTCTAGATTAAACCAGTGTTTAGTTCTTAAAAGGGAAAAAGAATAACTCAGTCTTCATTAAAATAATTCTTTTGATACCCCCTTTACTCATAATTTGAATTTCTAATTCAAAGACATTTATAGTATATTTGCAGAAGACATAATGGTTCTTAAGTACAGATTCTAATAGTGAACTTTGTTCTGTGTTGTTCTTACAGGTCAGCCCTAAAGTACATCATAAATAATTTTTCAAGATAGAGCCTCTGTCTTAGTTATCTAGTGTTGCTATCCCAGAAATACCACAAGTGGATGGCTTTAATAAACACAAATTTATTTTCTCACCGTTTAGGAAGCTGGAAGTCCAAAATCAGAGCACCAGCTCTAGGGAGAAGCTTTCTCTTTCTGTTGGCTCTAGAGGAAGATCCTTGTCTCTTTTCAACATCTGTGGGCCCGGCATTCCTTAGAGATACACGTGTGTCCTGGTATCAGTCTTCCTCTGAGTCTAGGAGTTTCTCAGCACAGGAACCCCAGGTCCAAAGGATGCACTCTACTCCCCCTGGCTCTTCTTTCTTGGTGCTGGTCAGGTCCCTATCTCTTATCTCTTCTCTCTCCTTTTATAAGATAGAAGGTGATGTAGGCCACACCCCACAGAAATTACCCTTGTATTAAATCAGGACTGTAGCCTAAGTAAGGGTATTGCATCTCACTCTATTCCCTTAAAACTGATTGGCTGATTGCATCATGGAAGATGATTGCAGTACTACATACCTGCCAAATATCATTACAATAACTACCAAACCACTGAAAATGATAGCCCAGCCAAGTTGACACATATTTTCGGGAGACAAAATTCAATCCATGTCAGTGTATAAAGCTCTCTGTATTCAGCACCCGTTCAGCTTTGCAATTAAGATCAGAAGTTACCAGCCTCTCTTCTTTTTTGATGTTACAGTATAGCTGAGAAAATTGATTCCCTGGTCTTTGCACTTGAATAAATTATTCATTACTTGTCTCAAAAGAGTGAATGTATGTGTATTCAGCATTCTATATCAGTTAAAAGGTATAACTATAAAGTGATTTGTCTGCTTTTTAGTTTTATTTCTTATAACATAAAATTGTAATGTAGGTTAATGATGTCACCTTAAAAGAAATATACTTTAAAAGATATATCTTAGTCCTAGGATGTTAACATTTTGGAATTAGAACATGAAATTGGGTTTTGGATACCCTTAATGATTAGGTGAGTTTTCATTTGTGAGGTTCAGAGAGCTAAGACTGGTAAAGAATGTAATTGATCAAATTTGGCAATACCGTTATTTGGTCAAAAAACTGATGGGATTCTATAGCGAAATGGCTCATTTTTTGGGGTATAGTTGATAATTTGCACTGAAAGATAGTTGCAAAAGAGGATTTCACAGATGATTAGTATTGTTATTCATGGTAACTAGAATGGGTTTGACCATATAAGTTCTAGGCTCGATATTTTTGCTCATTCTCATCATTTTTTAGTCTTACTGTTTAGGCATCCTGCTGGGAAGACTAAAGATAAATTCAGGCAGACTTGAGTTCAGATGCCATCTCTGTCTCTTGTTAGCGTTATGACCTGGAACAAATGACTTAACTCCTCTAAGCCTCAGTGTCCTCATTTGTAATCGAAGATACTTCCACCTTGATGGCTTTTATGAAGATTAGATATAAAATAATGTCAAGTACTTAACCACTGGGCTTGGAGTATAGTAAATAATATTTAAAAAGTTGTTGCTGATTCATGATTAAACATTCAACAGACTAGAAATAGATGGGAAATTTCTCCACACGAAAGAGCATTTATTAAAACCACACAGCTAAAATAATACACAATGGTGAAAGACTAAAATCTTTTTCTCTTAGGTCAGGAACAAGGTAAGAATGCCTGCTTTCACCACTTCTCTTGACTTTGTGTCCCTGGGTAGTGTATATCGTTAAGTGCTCAGCTACTAACCACCAGATTGGTAGTTCAGCCCCACCCAGACATAGTCAGAAGAAAGGCCTGGCAGTTTGTTTGCAGAAAGTCACAGCCATTGAAAGCCCTGTGGAGTACAGTTCTGCTCTGCAAATAGGCTTGTCATGTGTCAGAAGGGACTTGACAGCAACTGGTTGTCTTTGGTTGGTTGTTTTATTTTATCAGCATTGTACTGGAAACTCTAGTGAAGGCATATTAGGCAATAAAAAGAAGTAAGAAGGTACCCAAATCAGGAAAGAAGTAAAATTATCTCTAATTGCAGATTACATGATTCTATATCCAGAAAATCCCAAAGAACCCACAAAATAGCTACTAGAGCTAATAGATGAATTCAGCAAAGTTACAGGTTACAAATTAACCATGCAAAAATCTGTTGTGTTTCTATGCACCACCAGTGAACAATCAGAAAAGGAAACTAAGAGAATAATTTCATTTATAGTAGCATCTCAAAAGGACTATGTGGGTATAAATTTAACCTTAGAAGTAAAAGAATTATATACTGAAGACTAAAAAACATTGCTGAAAGAAATTTAAAAGACCTGACTATACATGTGAACCTCATCGGATGGATTACCCAGGAATCAAATTGACTACATTTGTGGAAAGAGATAATAGAGAAGCTCAGTATGACAATTCAAGACAAAGCTAGGGGCTGAGGCTGACTGTGGTACAGACCATCCTTTGCTCATGTGCAAGTTCAAGTTGAAGAAAAGCAAAGAAAGGCCATGGGTGCCAAAGTACAACCTTGAATACATCTTACCTGATTTTTGACACACTGGACACCAATGACTGAGGACCAGAAGAGTTGTAGGAAGATGTTAAGGGTATCGTACTTAAAAGAAAATACAAGGCCACTAAAAATACATGAAATAGCAAAAGACCAAAATGAATTTAAGAAGATAATCTGAAATGTGCTGCTAAGTGCACATTAGCCAAAGTAAATGCAAGAAATGGTGATGTAAAAGCTGAAAAGAAGATTTCAAAGGGTGCTTTGAGAAGGCTAGATTAGGCCTCTGTCAAGTACTCTGTACTACTTGACAAATAACTTTGCACAGTTATTGTGCAAAGACCTGGAGTTAGAAGACCAAAAAACAATAGGCATGATCTACATTTCTCTAGCTAAAAGAACTAAAGAGAAAATTCAAGCCTCCAGTTGCGTTACTGAATGACATGGGAAGCATCAAAAGGAGGTGGGATACACAGTCGCTGTACCAAAAAGAATTGGTGAATTCAAACATTTTAGGACTTAGTATGTGGTCAAGAATCACTGGTAATGAAGACAGACATTCTAGCTGCACAAAAGGCACTGGCAAAACAAAAAGGCTCCAGGAATTGATGGAATACTAAATGAGATGTTTCAGCAAACAGATGCAACGCTGGAAGCACTTACTTACCTATGTCAAGAAATTTGGAAGTCAGCTACCTGGTCAGCTGACTGGAAGAGATCTATATTCATGCCCATTCCAAAGAAAGATGATCAAACAATGAAGAAATTATCAAAGTATGATTAATAGTAGATGCTAGCAAAATTTTGCTACAAATAATTAAAAAACACCTGTAACCATACATCAACAGGGAATTGCCCGAAGTTCAAGCCAGATTCAGAAGGGAGTGTGGAACAAGGGTGCTGATGTTGCCGTCAGGAGTACTGGAGCTTTGTGCTTGACAGTTGCCGTCATGTCCATTCTGACTCAGCTGACATTGCTGCTGTCGGGTGAATCTTGGCCAAAAGCAGAAAATATTAAAGATGTTGATTGTGTTTTACTGACTGCATGAAGGCATCCAACCGTGGCTCATAACAAATTATAGATAACGAAAAGAATGAGAATTTCAGAACACTTCGCTTTGCTCATATGGAACTTGTACACAGATTAAGAGGCAGTTGTTTGAACAGAACAAAGGCATGCTCTGTGGATTAACATTGGAAAAAGTATGTTGCAGATTGTATCCTTTCACCTAACTCAATCTGCTGAACAAATAATCCTCAAAGCTGAACTAGATGAAGAATGCAGCATCAGGATTGGAGGAAGACTCATTAAAAACTTGCAGTATGCAGATAACACAACCTTGCTTGCTGAAAATGAAGACTGCTTAAAACACTGATGACAGTCACAGACTCTTCAGTATGGATTATGCCTGAATGTGAAGAAAATGAAAATCCTCACAACTGGACCAACCAATAAACATTATCATGATAAATGGAGAAAAAGTTGAAGTCAGCAGTTGCATTCTAATTGGATCAATAATTAAATGTCCATGGAACTCAAGAAAGCAAATTAAAATATTGCACTGGGCAAATGAGCTCTTTAAAATTTTACAAAGCAAAATCTCATTTTGATGACTGAGGTGCTCTGACTCAGACCATGGTGTTTCAGTCACTTCGATACGCATGTGAAAGTTAGACAGCAAAAAATGGGAGACAAGAAAAACTGATGCATTCATGTTGTGGTATTGCTAAAGAATATTGAATAAATTGGACTGGCAAAAGTATGCACAAATCAATCTTAGAAGTAATACAATCAGAATGCTCCTTTAGAAACAAGGATGGCAAGACTTTGGCTCACTTTGGACACATCAGACTAATGACTAGAAAAGGCTATCGTGTTTGGTAAAGTAGAGGGTCAGCAGAAATGAAGGTAACCCTGAGTGGGATGGATTCACACAGTAGTCACAACAGTGGATTTAAACTTACCAACAATTATGAAGATGGCACAGCACCAGGCAGCATTTTGTTCTGTTATGCATCAGATTGTCATGAGTCAGAGCTAACTTGACAGGGACTAACAAGAAACTGGTGGAAAGACATCTTATGTTCACGGACTCAAAAACTTAAAATGTCAATACTACCACCATCTACATATTTAATGCAATCCCTATCAAAATCCCAATAGCTTTTTTTTTTTTTTTTGCAGAAATGGAAAAATAGATCCTTAAATTCATACAGAATTATAAATGGCCCAAAAACAGTCTTGACAAAGAACAAAGTAAGACAACTCATACTTCCTTATTTCAAAACATACTACAAAGCTCCAGTACTCAGACATACTGACATAAAGGAGACATACAGACTAATGGAAAAAACTTGAAAGCCTAGAAATAAACCCATACAGTTATTTAGAAAGAAAAAAAAAAACACTGCCATCAAGTCGATTCCAACTCGTAGTGACCCGCATTGGGTTTCCAAGGCAATAAATCTTTACAGAAGTAGATTGCCCCATCTTCCATCTGCAGAGTGGCTGGTGGGATTGAACCACCAGCCTTCTGGTTAGCATTTAGATGCTTTACCTACTGCAATATCAGAACTCCTTCCATACAGTTATAGTCAATTGATTTTCAACATGGGTGCCAAGTCCATTCATGAGAAAAGAAGAACCTTTTTAACAAATGGTGCTGGGACAACTGGATTTCCACATACAGAGAAAAGAAGTTGGACCCCTACCTCACACCATATATGATAATTGACTCAAAATGGATCAGTGACCTAAATGTGAAACTCTTAGAAAACGTATTCTGACTTAGTGGGTCTGGGGTGAGCCTCCCCCACCACAAATACATCGGAATTTTTTGAAAACTCCTCTGGTGATTCTAATGTGCAGCTAGAATTGAGAACCTATAACAATGCACTGATTCTCAAACTTAGGGGTATTATAAAGACCTTTCTTAATACCCGTTTTTTTAATGCATACACACGTGCATGCACGTGCAAGTTGTATCCATTGAGAAAATACATACACACATAATGAAGTAATTCTACAGCCCACCAGGAGTCCAAGCATATTAGACATCAGTATGGAAAAAGAAAAGTTCTCTGTCTTAAAGGTACAACTAGTGTGTAAAACCTCGTAACCTTGTTATAAAATAGTTATTAGTCTTTAAAGTCTTTCCCTCAATTTTCAGTGAAAAATGTCTTAGCATACTACAGATTGTTTCTGTGTCTAAAGAGTTTTTCTCTGACTTCTGTTCCTAGACCCGTAGATTGGTTTGTAGTAGAAATAAGATACAAAATTGCTTTCTTCATATCTTCACAGAAAAGACCCAAGTGCTTTCTTTTCATTTCCTGTGACTGATTTTATTGCTCCCGGCTACTCCATGATCATAAAACACCCAATGGATTTTAGTACCATGAAAGAAAAGATCAAGAACAATGACTATCAGTCCATAGAAGAACTAAAGGTAACTAAAGTACTTCTATTTCGATTGGAGAATGACTGAGCACTTGTACTGAATAAAACTCTCACCGCTTTATTCACTTGAGAGTCAAACTCTTGGATCTTACATATCAAAAAAACTTCGTAAAAATCTGGAGGTCTAATGTTCAGAATATTTCAGATTGACCTTTTATTTTGCAAAGACTTAACTTTATATCAGTATCCAAAATCTGTGTTTTTCTGTCTTAGAAAACTTTTTATAAGCTCAGTGATAGAAAACCAGTTGAAATAAGCCATCTGCTGTATTTGACTGTTTTTAGTGAAATTTTGAATTTCATATATATTTTAAAATATATTTTCCCAGCCTTTAAAATAAAGAGATGGTGTTACATTTTTAACTTCTCGTCATTACAGGCAAGATGTTTACTTAAATGAAAGTATAATTAGTGTAATTTCTTTTTCTGTTTCTAGACTTACAGTGTGCATGTGTCTTATAAAATAGAACAAATTGACTTATCCAGAAATACTGAACATCAGTTTAATTATATTTTCTAGTTTGATGTAAGTCGACTGCTCCCTAAATTCGCTTAGGCTGTATTTGTTGAGCATATTTTCTTCAGCTTTTAGAAAGCCAAGGGGCCTGGGAAACTTACTAAGTAAAGAACATATGACCCTAAAGATAGTATATATATATGCCTAATGTTATAGTTAAAGATTTTTCTATCCTTAGTGAGTCTTGTTGTGTGTTGCTATCAGGAGTACACTTTATTTTTCCAAAGAGAAAAAAACCATCTTTTTAAAAAAATTGGCTTTGTATCAAGCCAGTGCAAACTTAATTGGTTCAGGTAATGTCTGTTTTACCCTTACTTTTCCACATGAACTTTGTAGAGCTCACTTGACCTAAAGTCTAGGCTCTAATTAATTACAGAAGGAAAATAAAACTAAATATTATCTTTACTTTGTCTTTTTTAATTCCACATGTGGATCAGCTAAAATTTATGAAGAACACCAGTATTTAATTCTGTCACCAAGTGTGTAGATGTATTTCTCTTGCTTTGAAAAACCTGAATTATATTCTCTCATATTCAGAGATATGGAAACTTTTCCCAGCTTTATTACAGGTGAAAATTTGGCTAGCACTGTTTTGTTTTCCCAGCATATTTCTGACCTTGTTTTTGCTTAATGGAAAAACATTTCCATTCTTTTTTCTTTCATAAAGGGTTTTCCTGTGATCTTTCTCTTACGACAAGAAAGAAAAGTGTGTCCCCTAAGGGTTTTTGAGCAAAGTGGGTTAAGATTTATCATAATTGAATGAAAGTATTTTTAACTCTTTGAAGTTTTCTACATGACTTTTTTTTCCCCCCGGGGAAACTTCAGCAGTCGGAAATAATACGTATTAGTTTACTCAGCTCATTAGGCTGCTAAAGTAAAGACTGTGTGAAATGTCTGCAGACCAGTCATTCATCTTTTTAAATGACCAAATATCATTACACTAAAGTCCAGTAAAGCCTAAACCCATCCAGTGAAGATTTACGGAGTCTGTAAATGACCTTGACAGATCAGAGCTGTGATTATTCTAGCTCCATGCTCTCTTCTCAGTGGTTATTTAGTATGAGTACATAGAGTTCTGTCTCCTCTCACTTGCCTCCTCTCCCCCCAAATATGTATGTACATATATTAAGAATTACTAATAATTCTTGCCAGAATGGAAATGTTGCAGAATATCTGTAACAGAGGTTCTTAACCTGGGGTTCTTTGGGAAGCCATGGAAGGGCTTTTAGGGGGACCGTGAACCTAAAATTGCACGGAAAGTATCTTCAACTTTGTGTGCGTGGATGTTTTGAGGAGTATATCTAAAACTTTTCATTAGATTCTTTGAAATCTAGTACCTATTCTGTTTTGGTTTCCTACTGGTGCTCTGACAGGAATATACCGCAAATGGGATGGCTTTAAAAAACGAGTTTATTCTCTTACAATTTGGAGTGCCAGGGCTCTAGGGGCTGGGTGAAAAGCCCCTCAACCTTAGGCTTCAGCTCTGCCTCCTCCTCCTGGCCCACTGAAGCTGGAGGCTTTGCTTCTCTCAGACAGCTGCTGGCTACTGAGGCTGACAAACCCAAGGTCAACAACTGAAAAAGCACAGTCCCGATA